GCGTGAAACGCGGAAACCAGAAAATTACGTCACACACCGGGTTGTCCTGCCACCGGCTGCTCCTCTGAATAATGCTCGCGGTATGCGGCCACTGCAGTAGCAGATGCAGTCCGTCCGCTTTGCAATTCCACCAACGACGTTTCGGTCTGTTTACACGCGTGCACATGATCCTTTGAAATTTTTTCGACAGATCGTTGTACTTTTTCCGTTTTAATTAATTACCTCGGCATATTTTTTTTTTTTTGAAATTAAATTTTTAGTGTTCTGTTAATGTATCTATTATTATAAGGAAATAAAAAAAGAATTTGTAAATTCGTCAAACATGCATGTATTCTCAATTGGAACAAAGTTAATATTCTTGAAAACGAGAATTTTCACATTCGAATCATGAGCAAGTCGGTTACAACACAATGTGAGCTATTTTCTCTTTTATATAATTATATCTTCGAGAAATTTTGCAATTTTTCCACTCTCTACAATTTTTTTTTTTTTTTTCATAAATTTTCACCTCATTGTAAAAGCGAAAAAGTATATTATATATAAGATAAAGTATAAACGAATTTTTTTTCTAGTAGAATTAACCTCTTTTTTTGCACGGTCCCGTTGGCATGTTGAAATCGGAAATAAAGCCGGGCGCTTCAGCGACGCGCGTGCCATCTATACGTTAACGCTGATTAACTGCGTGAAACACGCTCGAATTGCTTAATTTACACGTTCGTTTTGTCTCCTTTTTATATTCGTGCGCTGACTATTGACCGTTCCCTGTACAAACAATGCATCGTACACCGTTCTCTCTGTCTTCCTCCAACTATATATAGGAGGCGCCTCTCATCGTCGAATGGAAGCGGCGAACGCAGCGTGCTGTGATTTATTAACAGCCGCGCAATTGTTCCCAAATCGCTTTAATAATTCAGCTGTTGATTAAACGGGCCGGGTTCATTTTTACGCGTGATTTATTTCGCTACAAACTACTGTACGTCGCTCCTGATCGAACGAATTCTCTATTGACAATTAATTCCAGCGTAACCCGAATCGTTGACACGTGCAAAATTAAAAAAAAAAATAAAAAATAAAAAAATAAAAAATGAGAATGAGAGAGAAAGAAGGAAAGAGGGAAATAGAGATAAATGAATAGATGTGAAAAATTGAAAATATCGTATATTCCTCCCCTTCGAATGGAGGCGATGCTTTCGAAAATACGATTATTATCCTGTATATATATATTATAATTTATATAATATCTTTCAAAAGTATATGAACACTCGTTTATATTTTGATCGTAGTTAAAATGAATTTATTAATAATTTTTTAATTAATTTTTTTATCATTACTATAAATAATTGAATATTATATCAACATTGTTGCCAAATTTATTCGTTTGAATATATCATTAATAATATATGACAAATGACAAATAGTATAGAATTAATTTTTTATTAATTTAATTAACGTGTTCCAATACTTATGAGCGACAGTTGTATATATATGGTGATAAATATTGTTTGATATTCTTAGCAGATTTGTTCAAGTATCTCGAATAAAGATATGCATGGAGAATGAAAATAAAAATAAAGGTGTAATATCAGCTAAGAAAAGCATACTGTTTACGAACGGATATTCGTATACTCACCACTTTGAGTTTCGCTTGGATCTCGCGAAGTTTTCGCCTAGCAAGCACTTGTATGTGCGAAGAGACCTGCTTTCGCGTTCTCGTCTTGCCTGTTCTCAGTTTGATATAACGGGCAATCAGCTCGTTCCGACCTGGAACAGGGAAAGATACTTTGTTGAATAAATCAATCCTTGATTAACTGATTCATTCATAATACAAAATTTTATAAATAAAATTATAAATACACATATTTAATTTTACAATTTATTTTTACAAAGAATATTTATTATTAGGAAAAATTATGATTTTATTATATTATTTATTTTATTAAAAATTCTCTATTTTAAAATATGCATATACTTTTTTCGTCGATCAAAAGATTACGTATGTAATATAATTTCCTCTTTTTTTTTTTTTATCTAATTTATAATCACTTATGTACGTTGTAAGATATCTTCGTTATAATTTATTTTTAAACTCCATCATACACGAATTTAAAGAACCATAGTTGAAAAAATAATTTTTATTAAAGTTTCGGAAAATAATTCAGATATTGCACATATTTCGAGATACGTAAATTTAAAAAAAAAAAAAAAAAAAAAAAAAAAAAAAGATTTATTAAGATCGACTAAAAAGATTCTTCGTTCAAGACGTAACACTTGCAACAACGAAAGTGAAAGACCAGACGTTGAAAACGTTGGTGAGTTTTCGCAGGCTCCGATGACTAAATAATCTGCACCATTTCAAGGTCTTGCTCTTCATTTTCGTAACGGTGCACGTGCTTCGCCCAAAATGTCCTAATAAATCTACACGGGTGTGTATCAAAGCAAACGCGGAGCGTAAAGTAGCGAAACATCTTCTATGGACAATAATCGAGGTATGGGGGAATTTCAACATCCTCTAATAAAGTCTTTCTTGCTTGACAGGGAACAGATACGCTGTCAGGTATAACAAATAAACTCTCGATACATGTGGAAATTGACCTCGAATGTTTCTTTAAATTTGAACTGAAAAAATTGCTTTACGATGAATCTGATGAATCAGATGTCTTTGAATATTTTAAATATATATATATATTACAATTGATCTTTATTAGAAAAGATATTAATAAATAAAAATTTCGTAAAGGATTAAAATTTATTATTTTCAAATTAATTATTAAGTTAAAAACAAACGAAAGTTCAAAAGAGACAAAAGAGAATACTTATTTTACAATAATTCAATGAGAGCGATTCTTTCACAAAATCTCGGCAACGAATCGAAATCATCGTACAAAAGGTGCACACGGGGGAGAAATTGTTTAATCACAGATTCGCGAACTGAAATCGTATTTTTTTCGCACGGCTCAATAAACCATGATAACATTATTGTACATTTCGAGAATGCGAAGAGGGAAAAAAAGCGCCACTCGATTCAATCGGTTTCGATTTCCATTATGAAAAATAGTGGAAAAAAACAAAAGAAAAAAAGAGAAAAGAAGAACGATCAACGCTGGCGCGATTCAATAAAAAAAAAAAGAAAGAAAAAAAAAAAAAAAAAAAAAAAAAAAAAAAAAAAAAAGAGGAAAAATCGGTCGAACGTGCAAATAAAACGTCCGCTCATTGTCGACCCTTCCGTGTTTTCATCGGCCCTCGAAATCTGAATGCATCCCACACTCGAATTAATTCGAGTTCACAGTGCGTTTCATCCTCTTGAAATTCAACTGGATCAAGCTAGTTATTTTACAATAAAATTTTTTTCTTTCACTGATTCGTTCGTTTTTTCTTTGTATCAGACTGTTCTACGTAGCATACAAATCGAATCTCGAAGAAAGAATTGAAATTAATATCAATATAAATTATCATTATATTATTTGTTTCATTTAAGATAAAAATTTGCAAAAAAGAAAAAAAAAATAGGAAAAAAAATAAATAAATAAATCTACCTGCTTGATCAAACATTTCGTGTCCATTTACGAAGGGAAGAACATCCCATAAAGTTTCTTGCGAGTCGAAAGCTTTCGAAACGGTTGGACGATTGAAAAATGTCCGGGACCGATGCAATCTCAACGGGACAATCCGGCGGGAAATGACAAGCGATATTCGATCGTGAATGTAATCTAAGAGGTAGGAACAAAAATGAACGAACGAAAGAGATGAGAATAGGAAGAGAGGGGTTGGTACGGGTTGAGCGATGAATTGATTTCCAGCCGATTGAATCGAGTAAATGGCATAGCATGTGTGGCACCTTATCGTTGCTTAGATTTCACAGCCGTTAAGACTTTACGGCCGCGCCTGTAAAACCGGCGCCAGACGACATCAAACGTGTCGTAATTGAAATAACGTTTACTGTGTTGTAACCAGAACTATGCCACTTCGATGCACGATTGTTTGAAAAAAATCCTCGTTGTTTTGTCTGTGATTCTATAAAATCGAAAGAGCGAGAGTGTTGGTTGAACGAGATCATTTCCAATTTATTTTGCTTGCAATTTATATTTATTTATTTTATCATGGTTCAGTGTAATGACGTACACCTCTCTCGTCAAACATATATTATTTACTATTCGGCACTGTTCGGCAATAATCGTGATCATATTCGAAGATGGCCACCAATTGGCTAACATTATTTAACTGCGCATGCGTAAATACTAAGAATAAAGAAAATGCAATTTGAGAATATTTAACCTATAATTAATCTAATATTTGTCTTGAAAAAAATAATCGCATTCATAAGAATAACAAAAAATTTACAATAATCATAAAGCAATATCTATTTAAAAATTTATCTAAATTATTTATGTAGAATACTTTTATCGAACTTCTCTATCCCACGCACGATTGAAAATTATAAAAATATTTTTACACGCTATATTTCGATAGTGCAATTTTAAATCATTTATTATACAATTTAAAATCAGATTTCATCATTTTAAAACTTATAATCCTTTACAGAAGTAATTGTTGCGAAGAAACTTATAATCTCTGAATTTCCTCGAATCGAAATCTACAATCTTTCAAAGCATATAACTCTTCGCACTCTGAAAATTTGCCAAGATTCTTTCCTTTCATTGGCGATAAACACGCGGTAAATTCGAACATCCTCGAAGACGTTTCGGACAGAGGAAGGTTGGTGATGCTTCTTAGCAAAGGAGACGAAGAGAAAGCGGACAATGCGAGAGGGGGATAACGGGAGGGTGGCGTGGCGAAGGAGGAAGCAGAAGGGGAAGGTTACGGAGAACTCTGAAGCATCGGGAGGAAAATATTCGAGATTCCAGGCGAACCGCGTGATGACTCAATTTCGCAAAGACCGTTAAATGGCCCGCTATGAACCACGCGCGCCGCTACTGGTCGCGTTCCTTCTCTGTTTTTGAAGGCCGAACATTCTTCGAACGGGGGTTGGTCACGTCGGTTTGAATCTGCGTGGAAAATGCCGTTACAAAGAAGCTATTCTTGGTTCATTTGTTTTTTCCAATAGAATTGTTGCGTTCAAACGAAAGTTTCTATCGTCATTTCGAGATTTTACTATTTTTAAATTGAAATTATGACGTGGAAATTGTTTCAAGTCCGTAAATTGGCTCAAATAAGTAAGATGTTGGATTAAAAAATTATATTTATAAAAGTTACATTATCGTTTTAAAATATTATTATAAAATGTCACTATTTTGATTATTTTCGTATCGAAAAAGAATTGCAGTTAAGAGGTTAGAAAATATTCCAATATTTGTTTCATCCTCTTTTACCTTTTTCTAAAACTTCTAAAGAAGTCAATTTACGTTTCTTGCATGAATTTGATTACTTTTGCATTTATACAGATAATAAATATATTTTTTGCCAATTCATTATATTCTATAAAACTGATAATATAAAAAATTAAAATATTTCTTTAAATAACGAAGAACGAGTATATTCAAACAAAAATTAGTTCAAAGAAAATTTAATATAAAAATCAATATCTTTCTAGAAAATCTATCGACAAGGATCGGATCGAAGATCGATTTCAGAACGTGGGCGAGATCAACAAGATAACGTTCAATAGACTGCCCATGAACGGTCCTAGTAGGGAAAGTTACGATTCAGGAGAGAAAGAGAAGAGAACAGAGAGAGATGGATGCACGCCGCGACCAGCAATCAACGTAAATCACTTGGCTGATGCTCAATTTAACAAGAAGGGCCATTATGATCGCGAACTAGAAGTAACGAGCACAGAGAGAAGCGCTATCTCTGTTGTTCCTCGGTCACCCTATCGGTAATTCTCGCAGAAATCCATCGGAAGCGATGCGCAAAGTACTTATGGTTTATCGCAAGAAAACTCGCTTAGGCTACGTAATATGTTTCTAGAAAAGATTTGAAAGGAGAAATCATTGAAGGAATGAAAAAAAATTTCAATTCGATGTGAACATTGAAACGAATAAGTAAATAAAAGGAATATTTGTTTGAAAGGATAATTGATTTGAGGTTAGGTGCTTATTGTATACATTAAGCGTATAATTTCTCGATCTGTTAATTTTTCAGCAAATAAATATTCATAAAATCCGAATTTTTTGTTTTCCCATTGAAATATAATAACGTTTGAAACTTGATATCCAAGTTATAAATTAAATACGAATTTAATTGCAAAAGAGGATGAATGTATACGAAAGATGTGGATAAAAAGCGAATGAAACAACTTCGAATCGAGAGAAATGGGATTTTACTTATTCTGTTCTCCACCAACGCATCGGCGAAGATAGTCCTCGGTCGTATGTCTTGCAACGACTATGGTGTTAAGTGCATTAAATTCTCGAGAACAATCACAAGAACGCATCTTCGCGAAAAGGAGGTGGTATACACCTACGTAGATCGTCTGGTAACGACACGTGGACAAATTGAAACGAACGGCAACGAGTCTCGTAAGAATAGTGATTATAAATTATCGAAATGGTTAATGTCTATATAATATATATATAAAAGAAATTTAAAAGAGAAGACGAATCCTGTTAATTTATTTAAATTAATTCTATCTTACAGTAATGCAATATACATTATTACGCCAGAAAATTCAATAATCATTTTGACTCACCATTATGAACCATCATAACCTAGCTTATTTATCACGTATCTCGTTAGTTGCATTTCCAATCGATATTCACAATTTCTAACTCACTCAAATATATCTCCTCGATAATTTCTCTTCA